TCTCTGTGGTAATGACTAGGTATAAAGCGCCTCCTCATCACTGCTTTCATCTCATCCCACGTTTCTATTGGTCTTTCACCATTGCGTCTCCTGCTAGTCATAAGTTGATCCCACCAAATTATAGCATAATCAGTGAATTCAACAGCTGCAATTTTTACCTTTTTGAGTTCCGAATATCGCTGGCAATCAAATACCATCTCCATCCGTTTCTCCCATTCTAGATACGCATCAGGATCATTCTTTCCTTGAAAAGATGGAATCTTCATCTTAATGTTGCCAAGGTCATCATCTTCTCGACGTCTAAATCCTCGGCGTCCGTTTCTCCTCTCAAACCTACCATCTCGATCATCTTCTGTATCGGATACATATGCATCATCAAATTGCCGTTACCATCTAGGCTGTGCCCTAGGCTCCTCTCGCTGATTTTGTGGCCTCCCTCGTGGTGGCTCTTGGTCATCTTCAAGTCTTGTCTCACATCTTGCAACTCGGTTGCTAAGTGCTTCAATTTGTAAACTCAATTGCTGGATGCCTGCTAAAATCGCATCATCCCTTGGATGAGTGCGATCCTCCCTTTGATTCACACTTCCCTGGCCTGAGCCTGACATTTTTTTTTTTTAACCTGCAAGAAAATGTTAGAGATAAAAGAAATCTCACTAGTCACTCCCTCACGTTTTCCGCTCAAAGTGTTTGTCACTCCTCTCGTGTTTAACTCAATTTCGGCTTTTTCTTCCCTCAATTAGACTCACACACTTTTGCCTTTTACCTCTCGTTTCCTTCTAGCAAGCTCTTTTTTTCAGACTTGAATCCAGTCTCACAAGCTCCTCACAACAATCGATAAACCACCAAGCAAGATCAAATTCAGCAATATACCGCTCAACTCAGCAATTCAACAAATTTTCGCTAAATTCGGATTCAGATTCAATTTCTGCTACTGAAATTTTTTTTTTCTATTCGGTCCAACTATCAATGATAAAAACAAACGAGTCGTCCTCTTGAATTTTTTTTTTGCCGAAATTTTTTTTTTTTGGCTTTTTTCTTGCCGATTTTTTTTTTGGCTTTTTTTTTTGCCGAATTCTTTTTTTTTTGCCGATTTTTTTTTGGTTTTTTTTTTTGACGAACTCAAGTACAATATAAAAAAAAAACAACTAGGATCGAAATCCCTAAATCAAAATTGAAATCACAACAAGAACAAATTTAGAACCCTAATTCGATTAATAACGAAACCCAAAGTCTATAACCCTAGTTTCTATAAACCCTAGATTGATGAATGAAAAGCAATAAAAGTAGGATAACTAGACCTTGTAGAACTAGCTCTGATACCAGATGATATGAATCTGTGCGGAAGATGATCGTTCTACGAAGATCTATGAGTTACGAATTGCTGACCTCAACCCCCAATCGAACCTGTGATTGGTAATATTGGTATGAACGCGACCTGTTGACGAACCCGTGTCAACCAATCCACGCTATAACGCCACGAACAAGAGAATTCGCGATCTTGCTCGATAAGTTTAATTCGATCGCCACAATGGAGCCTTGATAAGATCTAGTCCTCAAAAGAACTCAAGAAGAAAACTTCTCTATATATAAAATTATGTCTCTCCTCTTAGAAATCTATAAGCAACCTTATATAGGGTGCTAACCCTAATCTTAATCCTACTAGGATTAAAATTACAAAAATAACCTTAATTGCTAAAATTCGTCCAAAAATGGAAAAAGGCCTAAAAGTTCATTTAAACGACTCCAAATCGCTAAAAAACGTCATCAATCACTACAAAAGTAGTGAGTATTGATCAGCGGCTTGTTTCCAAGCGTCCATCCAAATTTGAGCCAATTCGGTGTTCGTCAATTCTAAGCTCCTTCGGAATTCGCTGGACCAAGAGTAATCATGTTGCGCCAAGGAGCTTCAGAATCTTCAAGTCTCGAATCCAGATTGTCTCCATTCCAAATATCTTGAACCATGATACCGACAGCTTGTTTGAATTCCTTCGCTCTCGCTCAAGTGATCGGGCCTAGCGGATAGAACAACGGGTCCCTAGCACCTCCTCCTCGATAGGGTTCGATGTCCACATCAGCAATAGACAGAGAAAGTGAAGATGGAGAGGAAAGTGGTGATGGGGTGGGTGTCAAATGGAGAATCGGGCTTCCCTTGGTACTTAACCGCAATGAAGTCGACCAGAACTGGAACGATGAAGGTGAAACTGGCGTGGATGTTCCTCCGTTGATCACACTCGATAACAGGCATTTTGGATTTGTATATACTTGGAGAAAGAGGAAGAGTAGAAGGAGCTGCAATAGCAGAGGGGATGTCGATGCAGAGGCAGCAAAGTTAATTTATAGCGACCGATTAGTTTTTGCATTACTGTTATGCTCTTTATACCTTTATGTTAAAGAATCTGCTCTTCAGAAGACCAGATTCTTCACAGACCTTGCATTACTGTTATGCTCTTTATACGTTTATGTTAAAGAACCTGCTCTTCAGAAGACCAGATTCTTCACAGACCTTGCATTACTATTATGCTCTTTATACCTGTCTGTGAAGAATCTGGTCTTCTGAAGAGCAGATTCTTTAACACCAGGAAGTGTCAAGAGCAGAACCAACATACTCTGCTCTTAAATGCAAACACTAATGGTTCATTCTCTCTCTCTCTCTCTCGCATGAAGAGCTAAACCATCCTTAAAAACCGCTTTCCTTCTCCACAATCTTTCTGCGAATCTGGTCCTTGTTCCATCTCCCGCACGATGCTTATCTACAATGAATCAACCGCTTTTCAACCCCCAAAAACACACTAACCCCCCAACAAAACCTAAATGCCACCCAGTTTGTTTAAATTTTTTAAAAAAAATTTTGTTGACCATGAATTACGTTCGATTTTTTTTCAGATTCTCTGTGCGCGCGTGCGCGCAAACTATCTTCTTCTTCAACTACGTTCTGCTTAAAACCGCACCATAAAACACCCACAAAATCCAAATGCAGAAACTCAGATTCGTAAATGCCCACTCATGACCACCGTTCGTGGCCATGGCTGCCGGCTGAAGATCTAGCAAGCTCCAAATCTTGAGGCCACGAGCTGTCGCTCGTCAGCTCATATGCTGGTCTCTCTACGTGAGTTCTGACCTTTTAAGCTTGATGTGGTGTTTCGACCCCAAAAAAAAACAAAGTTTGATGTGGTGCTTATTTTGGTGCCAAATTACAATTTTGAGTGAATCATAACACGCCAGTGTGCTCCAACATCCTACTCAACCATCCAACTATCTATGTAAGCAAAAATCGACCAATAAGAGAAGAATATAGCAAAAGGAGCAAGTATAATGTGTGGAAGGTGGATGGACACTTTTGAATAAAATAAAGTAGAGAGATAATTTTGATTTTCGGGCAAAAATATAGGGACCGTTGTGTCATTATCCCTTCCGCTAGACATCTTGCAAGGGTACAGGATGGGTAAGCCCCAAACCGATGAACTTAAATTCATCACTTCCTACCTTAGAGACATACAATATCCATTTTGGAACCTACTCAACCAGGCCGCTGATTCCAGTAGAGGTGTTAATAGGAGACTAAAAACGGCTAAACCGAGCCGAATCAAACCGAACAAGCCAATACGTTCGGTTTTATCGTTTATTGGTTTGATTTTGGTTTGCGTATTATTTGTTACTGGTTTATTGGCCTGGTTTTGGTTTACAACATTCATAACCGATAAAGCCGAATCAAATCGATAAAATTAATAATAAATTAATTTTCCTTTTGACGAATAAAATTTGTAGTTTAAAAGTTGTTCCTAACTAAGATTGCTCTATACTATTAAATGAAAGTTTTCTATTTCTCAAGTTGGCCGTTATTGATTGTTTTTCAATCTCAAATAATATATTTAAGAGAGTTTTCTTTGACCCTTGGTGCTATTACATTTAGTTAATTCATATATTTTTTTGTTAGCGATATTTAATTATGATTATATTCCTTTTTTTTTTTTCCAATAGGTTCGTAGAAATATGTGTTTTTTTTATGTTAATTTCCATTGCACTTAAAAATTAGATAGTCTAAATAAGTGTCAAACTTTTTACTCGTAAATCGGCTATATGGAATTGGTTTGAAATTGAACCAAACCGATAATAAACTGAAGTTTTTCAATTGGTTTCGGTTGTAGTTTTATTGATTTGATTCGAGTCTTAGGCTCCGTTTATTTCTTGAAAATTGAATGATTTGGAAAATATTTTCAAAAAAATCATCGCTTGTATCGCTCGAAATAATTAGTCGATGAAAAATATTTTCAGTATCGTTAACAATTTATGTCTAACTATTTTCGTAAACGATGAAAATTTGTTTCGTTTATTTATTTTTGTAAGCGATACAAGCGATCATATTTTTGGAAAATGTTCTCTAAATCATTTATTTTCATGAAACAAACGTGCCATTAGATTGAGATTTTTCGAACCGATAACTCTATAGGCTGAAAATTTTTCCAAATCCAACTAAGATCGCCTCTCGCAATGATAATCTTTGGAAAAATGATACAAATGATCCCTTAACTTTGGCCTAATGTGCAATATGGTCATTGAACTTTTAATTTGTTCAATCTGGTCCCTAAACTTTATTCCAATGTGCAATGCGGTACCTGAACTTTAAAAATGTTCAATGCGATTCTTGAACTTTACTCCAATGACAACGTTGAACATTTTCATATAATTCATTGACTAAATTGAACGTGTACCAAAATTTCAAGGATCACATTAAATATTTTAAAAGTTAAGGGATCACATTACACATTGGAATAAAGTTTAGGGATCGGATTGACCAAATTAAAAATTCATGGGCTATATTGCACATTGAAGTAAAGTTTAGGAATCATATGAATAAATTAAAAATTTAGGGATCATACTACGTATTGGACCAAAATTGATGGACCATTTGTGTCTTTTTATCCCATAATCTTTTTGCACACCTCGTCCGATTACAGCCACGACTAAACGCCGTCGCTTCGTGTCAAGAAGATCATTCTCGCCGAGCTCGGTCTCTCCCTCTCTCTCTCTCTCAGTGCTCGCAGTGTCCAAAGAACTATCCAAACCAGAGAGGAACCATGTCTGCCATGTACGGAGGATCAGCCCTCCTCTCCGCAGGCTCAACCTCTCTCCCTCCCAAGTCCCAAGCCCTTGCTCCGATACCCTTCTCCGCCTCGAGGCCCGCGCCGTCTCTTTCCTGCTCCGCCGCGAACGCCGCTCCTCGCGCTGCCTCGAGCTCGAGGTACGACGAACTGGCCAAATTTGAGCTCTCGATTCAGTCTCTTGGGTCCTCGGGAACGCAATTAGAAAAGGGCATTCGTGTTTGGCCAAAAGGGTTTTCGTCTGATTGCGTAGCTGGTGCTGTGCGCTCGTCGCTGAGGAGATGGAGATAGTTTGAGCTTCGGCTCCTTGTGCTTGTGGGTTGGGTTGAGTTACGACTGCTGCCTGTTTGGTTTTTTGTTTCCCAGGATCGTTTCGGTGTCGCGGAGCATGGAGATGGCGATGCCACCGCCGACGCCTTACGGTGCTGCGGCCTCAGGTTGGGTTCCATTCGCCATTTGTTTTTGTTTATTCACGGTTTGTCGAGTTTCGTTCGCTTTCGCGCGTTTATTGCAATTGTTCGTTGCCTCAACTTAACTTGGCTATCCTCTTTTCACTCGGTATTTTTTCGTGGGTGTATGGATGTTTGGCACGAATATTATCTAAATCTCCACACCAATGCTTTGTTCTCAATGTGCTAGTTCATGATAGGTGCATGCGCTGGATGAATTCCTATTCTTTCTGTGCTGACTTTAGGGCTGGTTCCATTCCTGTATTAATATTTTAAGTGGTTATTCTATTCTGGGCGAGGAAGAACGTGCTATTCTTTGTTTCAGGTTACGTTTTGACCTTAATGAATGATGCTACTGAATGTGCTTGTTCCAGGATTGTCCAGTAAAAGTTATGGAGTGCCTCACAAGTTGGACATGAATGATTTATATGATTCCAATTTGAGGTGAACTCCACTAACCTTTCTTTCTATGATATTGTTAGAGTTACTATTGATGCTACATTATGTTGTTGCCTCACTTGTCTTCTTAAAGATAAAAATATGCTGTACCGTGTTCTTCCGAGTCAAAAAGTTTTGCCTTTACTTGAATTAATGATAATATTTTGGGTGAATTCATTTGGAACCCTGCATATGTTTGCTCAATCTGTTGAAGGTGGATCTTTTTTCACAGTGAAAACCTATAGCTTGCCCAGACAGCATGAAACTCCTTACGGTGTCTGTTGTGGAAATGAGATTTTACGACTACCATGCTTATTTGATGCATGATGGAATTGAGAGATTAGGAATTTCGATTTCTAGGATTAAGTGTATAGTAAGGGATTTCTGCAAATGGTAGATGGAAGGGTTTTAAATGGGCGTGTATGAGCGGAAAATGAAGTTGGGAAAGATGAAGTTCACTACCATGGCTTAAAGGATCACACCTTGGCCGAGGAAAAAGAACCCAATTCACCACCTAGGTAGAAAGGAACACTCCACCGGCCAAGGATAAAAAAGTTCACCTCCTAGGTAGAAAGGAATACGCCACCAGTCAAGGATAAGGAATTCAAGGTTCACCACCAAAGAAATTGGATAAAGAGCTGCATATAGAAATTGACTCACTTGAGGAAAATCTCATGTATTCATCAAAATTCAAGTCTGCCCCGACATGTGAGATCACTCCACTATTTATAGAGACACTTTGCTTATTACTAAACAAACCTAAATGACACTTGGAATCTATGACTCTGAAATTTAGCAAACAATAATGACTCTGGAATTAGTTACACACTATTATGACGTATGGAAATTAACAGCACACTTAAGACTCATAAAACTAAGGCTTGAAACGGACAACACACTTAAGATGCATAATAACTAGGGCTAGATACATAGTAACTAAGACTTAATTCTCCTAATTCGTGCCCTAGTCTTGGTGGTCAAACAGCCATCTTGGAAGATCAATAGACGTCCATAGGAATTGACCAGCAGACACTTGGTAGTCGATCAGCGCACTCGGTAGTTGATCAACACACTTGAAATCGATAACTAATCTTGTGATTCAATAACTACCATTCAGAGTCGACACTTTCAACCTTGGATCCTTCTAATTAAGTTGTGGACGAAATTTGCCTTTGCTTGCATGAGCAATGATTGGGCTAGATCATTCGATGAAACCTGAGTTAGGCTCGAGAGTTGTTTCATAGAAACAGTTGCTCCCGCATCATGATTAAACACACGTCTTTTTCATCCATTTTGCTCATCAATTTTTGAATTTAGCTATTGGGTATAATATCAGATTCATCAGTCCACTAAATTTGCATTTCTTTGTACTAGAAGTATGAGTATGAGTTTATTGCATTTTGTCATGGACAGTCGTGGTGCAATAGAAGCCAAAAAGGGTAACCCTCCTGTAATGCCTGCAGTAATAACTCCTGGAGGGGCACTGGACCTCTCATCTGTGTTATTTAGAAACCGCATAATTTTCGTTGGGCAGCCAGTCAACTCACAGGTGGCTCAGCGGGTTATATCACAGCTTGTGACTCTTGCAACCATTGACGAGGATGCAGATATACTGGTGCTGTACATAATCTATTGCCTATCAATAATTGTAAAACTCCCCTTGCAAACTTTAATTGTTAACTAGTTTTTTGACGTGTCAATTTGCTTTTTCAGATGTATCTGAATTGCCCCGGTGGAAGCACATACTCAGTGTTGGCAATTTATGATTGCATGTCTTGGGTAAGAGTCTTCTGTGTATGGTTTTCCTTTGTGATAATATGTCCATGAGCCTTTTGCATAATGACACAATTCTCAGATGATATGACTTTCCAACATAGTTTGAAGACCTTCACAGTAATCTGTTTTTAAGTTTATAGGTCAAAACAATTGTCCATGCTGTGTGGCTTGATTCAGATAATTAAAGGGAGATGCTTCTAAGGATGGGGATGGATTATGTTAGTTAAGAAAGTCAAACTATGTTGCATGAGCGTTTCACTTTTTGATGGAAAGTCTTGATTGGAAGTTTAAGAGAGGATAGTTAAAGGGCATGTCTGAGAAATATGTTGGCTGTGCTAAGGAGGGAAACAGATCTCTGATAATCCCTTCTCCTTCCCACTCCCTTTTTTTTTCTTTTTTATGTTTTTTTTTTGTGGGAGTATATGGGTGGAGAAGGAGGTACACTTTTCTAGAATGATAATGTAACTTTTATGGGATATAAGGGTGGTCCATGTCTTCTTGGGACTTGGCTCCTAAAAATACATTTCTACTTTTGATGTGATCATAAGAACGGAAGTAAGTGGCACTAATACTGGCTTAATTACATTCATGCGGCCTATACAAAAAACTTGGGCAACCCTATTGGTCTTCTCTGCATTGACAAGTCTGTAGAGCTGTGAATCAACAGCCCCCTAACACCATTTATAGAAAGCACCGTTGAGATTTCTATGCCGAAAGCATTTATAGACGCTCTACATGTTACCAGATAAAGCCAAAGGTTGGTACAGTTTGTTTTGGAGTGGCAGCAAGCCAAGGGGCACTTCTTCTTGCTGGTGGAGAGAAGGGAATGCGTTATTCGATGCCAAATGCACGGATCATGATACATCAGCCTCAAAGTGGATGTGGGGTATGGTTTCAGTCAGTCCTTTTCTATTTTTGTTGGAGGAAGCATGTCTTTGTGATTATGAGATGATCAAACCTAAAGCATATGAACCTCTTCTTCACCACTCACCAAGCACAACAAACTTACTTAAAGAGGTAGTTGCTTACAAAGAGCAGAGCATGCACTAGAACCTCCAAAGTTTTGGAGCCTAAAATGTCTTTCTGTTTGAGCCAGCCTGCTTCTATTTGATCTGATATTCCTCTGACAAGTGCCCGCTGGTCTTGGAACCTACTTTTGGCATCAATCAACTTATTGAAGTTCCTTTGACAGCAAGCTGATCATACTAGCTTGGTTCTCATAATGAGTCCGAAAGATATGTTTTTCCAGTCTCAGCATTATAATCTCTTGCTTGTAGGCTATTTTAGCAATCTATAATGGGAAGTTCTCATCTATTACAGTCTTTTTTGCTTGGCTACTACTATTATTTGGAGTGCACTCTAATTGCCATTTGTGATCCTGACAAGATTATAGACATGAGTGAGAAACAAAGTTGGATCCTTTGAGACCAGAAGTTGGCATCTTAGGAGATCCTCTGTGTCCTTGTGAATAGGATTAAAGGTTACTTTGCAAATACTGTTCTCTGATGTGTATGCTTTAGCCCATGTAACTCTGTAAAGCATACTTGTCTTAATCTGATACGTGTTCAACATAAGATGCTTTGGGCTCTCAAAGTGTTGTCTGAGCCCACTGATAGGAAAAAAAAGTCTGAAAAAGAAATGAATGCATGGGGCCAACCTAAATTTTGTTGAGGCTAGAATTGCATGGGCAAGGATATATTGATGAGACACTATGTGCAAGCCTGTCCAACTGTTAGTTGGGCTTACTGGGGTCTGATGGGCCAAAAATTGTGCCCAAGCCTGCATGAATGATGGATGGGACCATAGAGTTGCTAACTCATGAACAGGTTTAATCCAAGGGAAGATCACTACCCTAATGAAGCAGTGGAAGCTAATTTAAGTTCATGGAGAACATTATTTATAGACTTAAATAATCAACGTATGTAGTTCATAAAGGATAATTTCCTTTCGATAATCTCTTTAATTGTTCCCAGTTCCCACATTTCGTTAAGTTAGCATGGCCAAAGTATGTCAAAAGTTCATGCTGTCAAGAATCGAGTCCAACATGTATGTATGCCACTTATGTTTCTCAATACTCCACTTGCATGTGAGTCGAACATTTTATACTTGAAATGTGAAATAGATTTTATCACATCAAATAGGTAAGACTAATTCTGAACTCATCTCCCCACTATGAATAGAGAATATTTCAATTTTTCTCCATTGACCAGTAAAAGTTGGTCCCGAACCTCTGGTTGCAATAGCACCAAAACTACCCTATTTTATATGACTACGCTTTACCTTATTTGCAATTAAAAATAGTCAATTCATTAAAAAGAACTCCACAGCTCTTCACAGAGTTGGGCTGTAAGCTCCGTGAAGCTCACAGTTTGAGCAACTCCTCACCCAGTGTCAACTGAGGCTATCTGATGATTTGTGACCTTCACCAAGACTCATCCAGGCTTCTGAAGCTCCGTGACACTTCATCCATGGAGTTGATCTTATCAACAATGGAACTCTCTTTCTTCAAAAAATGTGGAAAAAAACAAGAAAATAGATCAGGAGACATCGCTGAACTCGGTTGAATTTGAATAAGGAAGAAGCAGTGGAGAAGCTTGCTTTTGGGGACCACAAAATGATAACACAGGAATGGAAAGAAAGAAAAAACCAAAATTTGAAGGCTAGTCGCATACCAGTAGACAGTTAAGTATCATTAACTGTTCTTGTTTTCTATCAATGCATCTGTTTTATCCGAAAGTGTTTCCTTTCCATTTCTTTTCTTTTATAATGTATCAGATCGTCTTTTTCCTATTATCTAGTTCCCTTGAGGAAACTAGATTATCTTCAATTCATCTCACAACTTCCATTTTCCCTGGCTGAATCGAAAATGAAGTTTTCCACTCCTTGGCTCTCATGCTTATTTCCTACGTCAAGTTCCTATATTCTTTTTCACCCTTAAAAAGTAATGAGCCTTTTTTCTCTTCTCTAACATTCCCTGCGCCACTCCTCACCGGGGAGAAATGAAAAGGGAAAGCAAATTACTAATCAAAGATTAATTTGTTGATGCCTTGGAGGCAGGTTAGTTGCATACCAGCAGACAGACTTTCATTGCTTGACCTTTTCCGATGATATGTATCATGTATAGGAGGACATGAATTTGTTTCCCCTTTTCATGGCTGAATGTAAAGTGGCATCTGTTGGAGCCTTCACCATAACAGCCTCAGTCCCAATGAGATATTGGTTGCTCTTCTATTTCTGTAGCCTAATATTGCTTTGGATAGGACTACCTACGTTTTCCGTACACATCAAACGGTTTGGTTATAGGAATTTAAAGTTTGAGGATACCTAAGTTTTCTGCACACATCTTACAGTTGGGGAAGATCTACATTTTCTGCGCACATCTTACAGTTTGGTTGCTAGTTTAATTTCTGTTAGCCTTATATTGCTTTACATGGGATTACCTACTTGCTGTATACATCTTACAGTTTTGTGGTAGCGCTTTAATGTTGAGCTGATTGCATTATCCTTTAGCCACAATGATGAGGCTAAGTTATCTTGTTTTCGACGCTTCACTTGATCTCCAGTTTAATTTGTTTCAGATAGGCAGCTTATGTACATCAAGGAGGATAATTTTACTTGAGAAACTTTGATATAGCGGAGAAATGGTTGCATAGTTTTAGATGATGTACATATTGGTCATCACAGTTCTGATTCCGCATAATTCTTCTTGTAGGGCCATGTTGAGGATGTTAGGCGCCAAGTGAATGAAGCAGTTCAAGCCCGCCATGTTCGTATCTCTTTCTTAAATCTCTCAGTTCTTGTATTTTGCGGGTGGTTTACTGTTATCACTTGAGGTGAAATGCAACTTTTTTTTTTCTCCTCAGTGTGGTTGAGCGAAAGATTCAAACTTGGTTTGGTTAGCTCGTTAATTGTTGTCTAGCTTCTTGGAAAACATGACAGAAGATTAGCAGTTTCTGAGAAAGTTAAATTTATGTCATGCAATGCCATTAATGTCATTTTTACAAAAATCAAGTTGTCCTTTTTATGGTGTTTTTGTTGTGTCTTGGCTGAATATTGAGGTGGTTGTTGCAGTCTCAAGTACTTGATCTTTTGCGGATTATCTGTTGCAGAAAATTGACAAAATGTATGCTGCTTTTACTGGTCAACCCCTTGAGAAAGTGCAGCAGTACACAGAGAGGGATCGTTTCTTATCCGTTTCTGAGGTAATTTTGCTGATTCCTGTTACTTGATTATCAGTAGCACTTTGCACATTCTTTCAGGTGGCATGAGTAGTTGGTCTGAGGGAATTTTTCTGCGTTCTTTTCCTTTAAAAATCACTAGCACTTTGCACGTTTTTCAAGGTGGCATGATTAGTTGGTTTTGTGTATTTCTAAAGAATGGGAAACTTAAGTGCTCCACTTTATTAAAAGCAAGGACCACTGCGGGAGGTCAAATGAAGGACCTATCAAAGTCGGGGTCCTGGTCAATATTGGATCACACAAAAGGGGGCCGTTGCTCTGACCTCTTTTTTGTTGATTCAATACAATAGGGGAAAAGATCGGTCAATTCTTTCACTACAGATTTATTTAAATCACTGTTTATTAGGATAGTGTGGATAACGAAGTAGCAGGAGGCAGCGAGCAGCCAATCACTATTCATGCCAGATATATTTCCTAGGAGTCTTAAGTATGTATAGGATAAAGAGGAAATAGGTGAAATGTAGTGTTAAACCTATTAAACCAGCTAATATCCGCTGACTTTATCATGGTGGATTCTCAACCTGTGTTTGAGTTATTCAAATGTAATGCAGTAATGCCTTAGAGCGAATCTTGAAGCACTGTTGACATTATTTAATCTTCACATTATCGTCCTTTGTTCACACCATTTACATGTTTATGGGGTTTCAATGGGCTTTATATTCATGTAGTCTTGCTCCACCTCTCGGTTTAGATTTTTAGGTTAGACTTTATAATGTATCGGAGTTAGGTTTCACCCCAGTTAATTTCACGTGTGAGCTGCCTCCCCATTTGTAAAATTCATGTGGCATTCTTAGTCCAGTTTGCATGCAAGAAAGAGTGTTAAGGTATCCATATTACTTGTTTATGGGGTTTCAACGGACTTTATAATCACGCAGTCGCCCTCCACCTATCATTTAAGCTTTTAGATTAGATTTTCTAACACACATTACCTTGACTAGATCTTTATGGATTTCTCTGGTGATTTTCGAATCACCTTTCTTACAATTGATGATGTTAATAGTGTCATCATAAAATATTCATAGGTCTAGTTGTATAGACAGAAGTAGAATTAAACTCTCCTTTTCTGTTTTGTATTGCAGGCCATGGAATTTGGACTCATTGATGGAGTTCTGGAGACAGAATACTAGTCTCAAGAGTGAGGCCTGGCCATTCTTTTCGAATACAGAAGTTTCTCCAAGCATTTGTGGCGCAAATTGTAGGATAGAGGTAGTGAACGAGGAGGGATTGACTGCTGCCTGTAGAAGTGCATTGTAGATTATTTTTGGATGTTTTTGTTAGTCATACTGTCGTACATTTAATCCTACAAAGCATAAGAAGGCAGGCTCACCGGTTCTGTATCTTTTTGTGTTCTTTTCCTCCATCCACTATTCATTCCGCGATGGGGGATGATCCGTGATGGTTACGGTTATATGTCATTCAATGCAATAATTTTTCATGGAAGTTTTGTGAAACATAGAGGATCCTATTTGGAATGTCTTAGAGATATCTTGTAGAATGAGCACATATGAAAGTGCAAGATTTTCGTTTTTCATTGGCTATTAATGATAAACTACTTAGGAGAAAAAAATTTGTTTGACTCTAGTAGTTTATGGTCATTGAATAAGGGAGGTGTTCCAACAGTAATTTTGGAATCATCCCTATGATCTCAGTGCATGTCTCCATTGACGAGTAAAATCACGAAGCTTTGTGTCTTGCCTAAAATGTCGTTCTCCTTCCCAAATCCGACTACCGGTCTTTTGATTGCAATTATAACCATCACATTACAAGTATATTACTTTCTTATAATCTATATTGTAGCCAAATTGTAAATAGCTATAATTGTGTAGCTCCCGGTGTGTGTATATATATAGTTGTTATTACGTGTGTATCATGATGTGCGTGCAATAGAGGTTCATCAAACAATAGGAATAAGCATACTATTTTTACATTATGACACTCATATTAAGAAATTTTGTTGTTTTCAATGCACACTCTCGTAGTATGTGTAGTGTCTACATTTGGAATAAAGATATTTTCTCATTTGGTGTGGTTAAGTGCTCGGGCATTCGTTGACAAGATTTTTATGATTATTTTCTTATTGGATAATGGTAATGCATTTGGATGTAATATCTCTATTCAATTGTTACTATATTGTTATATCAAAAGTAATTACAATTGATTACTTATCTCAAGCAATGTAATAGCTACTACAGATTCATTCTATTATAATCATAGTAACTCTTGTAGTTACAGTCTTATCAGTCACTGCTACGACCAAAGGTGTAAGATTGTAGGGTCGGGAAATTTTTGTTTGGGGACTTAAACACCGACTCGTCCCAAAAAAAAAAAAAAAAATCCCGACCCCATCTGAAACCCGGAAATTGGTAATTAAATTTTAATTAAGTCCTAAATCATTCAATGAATATACGACAAATTGAAAACTTGATTGATAAGTTTTCTATTTATTTTGAATAAGATATTATTAATGATTATACAATGGCTTAAGTTATGTAGTCTACTTTAGTAAAAAAAACGAAAGAACATGGTTTCTTTAGTTATATTATTAGCCGAGTTTGAGTTTCGGGATACTTGTGACCTAAATGCCAACCTGTTTCGAACCCTATTTTTAAATGAAACCCGAATTCGAACTACAGTTTGCAATCCGAATACGTTCCTATAGGGTTTGGATTGGTCTAAAGTTTGAGTTAATCCAACTCACTATACTCCCTAAGGGTGAGTGCTGTGGTTCCTAACTTTGATTATAGAGTAAGCTTGATTCAAAGGCACGAGCTAAAAAAGTAGGGAAAATTGTCCAAAAAGTCCAAAATTTATTGTACGTCGATCAATTCAGTCATAAATCTTTTAATTGTACCAAATTAATCTTAAATCTTTTGTCAATTTGCCAATTTAATCATAAACATTTCAATTGTGTCAATTTAGTCATTCCGTCTAATTTTGATTGGAAATTGCTGACGTGATGGTCTAGTGAGCACTAGCTATCTTTTTGTGGCACGGCCGATGTTGATATGGACAAATTTTGTAGATTTTTTTGAGAATTTCCTTCTTTTCTTCCTTTTCTTCTTCTTCGTCTTCTTCTTCTTCTTCTTCGTCTTCTTCTTTTTTCCTCCACCAGTGAGGGCAGCCCTTGCTAGCCCTTGGAGAGGGTCGCCCTTGCCTAATCAATGAGGCCTAGCGATGGCTGGCAGAGGGAAAAAGGAAAAAAAGAAGAAAGAAAAAGGGAAGAAAAGAAAAGGAAATAAAAAAGAAAAAAAGAAGAAAAATTTCAAAATTTCAAAAAAGTTGCAAAAATTATCCACGTCAGCGTCGGCCATGCCATATAGGATGACAAGCACTGACTAGATCGCCACGTTAACGATTTATGGTTAAAATTAGTCGAAAGGAGTAAATTGGAAAATCTTCAAAAGGTTGAGGACTAAATTGGTAAATTGTCAAAATGTTCAAAACTAAATTGACACAATTGAAAGGTTTATGACTAAATTGACATAATTGAAAGGTTTAGAACTGAATTGGCTGCCATATAATAAATTTAGGATTTTTTTGGACAATTTTCCCAAAAAAGCATACTAGCAGGCAAACTGAGTCTTTTTCATTGCATGATCTAGAAAGCATGCTTTTGATATATCTCAGTTAGTGTGATGCGAAGTCCTTGCTCATACAAGGCGTGTTCGATAAAGCGCATTGCTCACGGAACACTTACTTAAACAACGACAAAAATGATGAACACTGATTATTCAATCGAATACACTAATGTCAGAGGCAACAATCATGTTCAGTTGTTGTAGCAGGGCAAAAACGGCCGATTCGACTTAGGGTTTCATTTAGGTTTTGTTCAAATGTAACAGAGGCACTTTAGAGAAAACAATGTAGCAACTGCGCTCACAATACTAATTGATGTCGGGTGTGATTTGGACAAAACTCGTTTTAGGCACATCAATTGATATGCGTGTGAATCGGATTAAGGGAAAAGTGTCAAAAAAGTCCTAAACCTTTTGCATTGGTGCCAATTTAGTCCTAAACCTTGTTTTAGTGCCAATTTAGTCCTAAACCTTTGCATTTGTGCCAATTAAGTCATAAATCTTTTTTCTGTGCTAATTCAGTCCTAAACCTTTTGTATTTATGTCAATTAAGTCCTAAACCTTTTGTACTGGTGCCAATTGAGTCCTAAACCCTTTTTTGGTGCCAATTCAGTCCTAAACCTTTTGCATTGATGCCAATTCAGTCATAAACCTTTTGCATTGGTGTCAATTCAGTCCTTCCGGTTAATTTAGCTAAAAAAGGTTTAGGATTGAATTGACACCAATGCAAACGGTTTAGGACTGAATTGGCACCAATGCAAAAGGTTTAAGACTCAATTGGCACCAAAAAAATGAATAGGACTCAATTGGCACAAATACAAAAGGTTTAGGACTGAATTGGCACCAATGCAAAAGGTTTAGGACTGAATTGGCACCAAAAAAAGGTTTAAGACTAAATTGGCACAAATGCAAAAGGTTTAGGACTGAATTGGCACTAAAAAAAGGTTTAGGACTAAATTGGCACAAATGCAAAAGGTTTAGGACTTTTTTGACACTTTTACCATCGGATTAACTGGGCTCCGTTAAAATGGAATGATTGTAGTTCTCACAAAATATGTAGTGCTGATTCATGCATGATGCAACCTTGCCTCATGGACCTCATGTTTCACGTTATATGAACTTGACATCATGTACATGTGCATTTATATGGTACGCGACAAATGACGGATTACATTAATTGGCTAGCTTCTCACCATCTTTGAAACCATATCGGATCAACCTAGATCTGTTCAATCGCAAAATTGGATCTTCACCGACCCTTATTGGTCCAAGATCTTCCTAATCCAAGGCACACTTAAACTTTGCCATAACTATGGACCTTATCAAGACACCAACTCTACTTGCACCATCAACCGCTCCACAAGATTTCAAACACAATCTCATTTATCACAGATAAAGCAAAGCCATCGTTGCATCCAAATTTGTTAGGAAATCGAACATGCACCTTATTCAATTCAGTAGCTACAACAACCGTTGGCTCTATAGACTCTATTTTGCTACAAGCACCATCTGTGCTGAGTATGCGAGATAATCAATAGGATAGAAAATAAGAATATGATAGTTTATGGTCCAACAATTGGGAGTAGAAGGGACCTCAATGTACTAGAAATTTCCTATGGTTAGCCGTTCACAAGCGAATATTGCCTAATGAATTGAAGACGTCTCGCGACTTGAAAGAAAACTGATATTTGAGATGTGAGTTGTATGCCCTAGGGGATTATCCAATTGTTTGTAGGATATGACCTGAGTTTGTTCCCCCCCCCCTCGCAAAAGAAAAAAAAAGAAAAAAAGAAATCGAAGAGTTCTTCTCAATGAAATTGTCTAAATGATTAAATTCAAATCTTGTTGATAAAGGGCGATTGAATTTTCACCATGCTTGGAGCATAAACTTTTGGAGTGATTGTGTGGGTTTTTGGGCATAAGAGAAACAAGTAACTTTTTCAAGACAATTTTGTTTTCTCTTCGAATACAATGGAAATTTAGTTGCACATAAAAGGAAATCATAGTTTGACCAAAAAAAGAGAGAAGGAAATCATAGACTTCATCTGTCAATAACTTGACGTTAAGTGGATTATGAATTTTCCAATTTTGGTCAATTAGGATCCTCTATCTTAAGGCTAGATTAAACTGAATAGGTAAATTACACAAATAGTCCCTAATATTTGGCTCAATGTGAAATGTGGTCCCTAAATTTTTAATTTGTTCAATATGATACCTGAACTTTAACCTAATGTGCAATATGATTCTTGAACTTTTAATTTGTTCAATATGGTCCTTGAACTTTTGATACATATTCAATTTAGTCCCTAAATTATATGAAAATGTTTAATATAGTCCTTCCATTAATTCAAGTTCAGGGACTATATTGAACATTTTCATATAGTTCAAAGACTACATTGAATATATACCAAAAGTCTAGGGACCACATTGAACAAATTAAAACTTTAAGGACCACATTGAACATTAGGCTAAAGTTCAGGGGCTACATTAAACAAATTAAAAGTTCATGGACCACATTGTACATTAGGTCAAAGTTTATGGACTGTTTGTGTCATTATCCCAACTGAATTCTAATGGGTCTCTAACGGCAACCTTGGACTTGCAGGTGTGAGAGGATTATTCATAAACCAAGGGGGAAACTAGCTTGGTTGTTTTGCAACCTTCGTTGGAATGCATATGTTGTCATAAGTAAAACTTTGGGTATTGTGGTTGGGACTCAACCGCGCAAACCAACTTGGTTTTTACAAGATTATCATTGAAAT